CTTACAAACTCACTTTAATCAAGGTCTTACACACACACACACACACACACACACACACACACACACACAGTCAAATCTCCACACTGAAGCTTTCACGTTTAGTGCTCTACGGGGAGACGGACAAACAGGCCCAGACACAGCAGATGGAGACACACCAGTACTTGATTAAGAAGAGGAGGAATTAACATGATTGAAGTTTCTGTTTCTCTGTCCAGGCTTCACTGAGAGAATCTGTTCCGATGAGGCTCAAAGTCTCAAATTCACTGTAACATTACATCTCAGGGTCAATACCGCGATGCACGCTGACACATCACTTTGTGACCTACATCCATCAAAAACAAAAAAGTTGTTTCTGTTTGTAGGGCTCTAAACGGCGTAGCACTATAGCTAGTCATTTCAGATATAAATTCAAAGCTTATTCCTTTTTTTTCCCACTCACATTACCCCTCGGGTGTATTATTGGAAAGCATAAACATTTATGTATACCTCTTCTGTCTCTCAAAAAAGTCAGGTAGCCTGTCTATTTAACGTAATTGTCTTCTTGACATCAGGGGATTAATCACAAATAAAAATCTGCAGTTAAAGTCAAAGAGAAAAACTACAATCCCAGATCCAGACCCCAGTTTGTCTTTTTTGCAGAACATTGAATATTACATGTATTTTAATGAACATGCTGGTGTAGTTATAGTTTGTGCTTTTCTTATATGGTTTTCTTTTAAGGTCACCGTTGTCATCTCATGACAGGTTTAGAGATGTGAATTAAATCCACATCATAAAAACAAAAAATCTTAATGAAGTGTTGCTTTATGCATGCTGCTGTAGCCTACTGAGGCAATTAAAGTGAGCAGAGCCATTGTTCTGATGTTAATTATATCTTTGATTTTTCTTCTTTGTAGAAATGGAGATAAAGATATAAAGAAAAGATGTTATTCATCTTTATTTCATTCGTCTGTTTTATGTAATTATCTTTGAATAGTGTATTACTATCTTTCTTAAGTTTTTCTTGGACCTTTTTTCATTAAGAGAAAGCACAAGATCGCTTACAAGCCTTAGAAATTAGAAGCTTAATTTCATATTATATTATTTACACATGGAGAGTAAATCACTTATGGATCACTACTCATGTTGTTTAAATGTGATTAAAGGCTTTAAACAATGAAGTACACAACAGTCAAAACAGAGTCCTTCATTACCAACAATAACTTAATATACCTAACGTAATAAAACACAACTGATGCATCTTGTGATACGTCTTTTTAATATTCAATATCTACCTTAAGAAGAGGAAATAGTTTATTTTCAAGTATTACATTGAACAATCTCAAAAACAATCATACATAAATATTTAACAACAAACAACTTAAGACTAAAAGTGTAGTTTGAACTCTTATAGAACAGGGGTATAAAACACAATTGTTTTAATTCTTGGTTCTGTTTTAAGATTTTCTGAAGTATTAATCTGTTTTGGAGAGAAGAAATTGAAAAGCCATATCACCTTATTGTGAGAAAATAAAGCTCATGTTTTAACCTTGCATCATTATACACTCACATTTGCTCACACTTCAATAATAACACACAACAAAATAAAAAGAAAGTGGCAATGGAGAGAGGCTTCACAATAACAAAGTGTTACAAGTGTACAAGCCAGTAGGGAAACATTTTGTGATTCGATTCCTTTAATAACAACAGCTATTAATATTAAGATGAAGTGTGAGAAATTGTTAAAAACAGAAACGTACAGAGTTTAGATTCTCTGTCAAGTACGGTTATTTATGGTCTGAATTGTTTGGACTCCTTGTGACAGTGTGTTACTTTGAGAGGAATCATTTTCTCATTAATTTTATCCAACGTGTCCGTCTCCATTATATTGACAATTTAACAGCCCGTCCCTGACAGCTTGATATTTTCTGTTGATGCAGTATGTGCTGCTCAGCCTTTCTATGGAGTGCCATCTATTTTAGATGAATATTATTATCCAAGCATTTTGCTGACTCCTCCACTTCACTCTCAATCTGCCATGGCAACAGGCCAACTCCCTGGAGGCAGAATCTATGATATTTACTTTGAAAAGCGACCCCCATTCCCTTGTGACGTATAGGCCAAAAGATTAGACTTCATTTCATCCGCGCGCCACAGCGGGGTGAAATTACAGCGTTCCCTCTGGTGGGGCTGCCGAGAAGAAAACTAGGTGGCAAGAAAGTAAGTGTACAAGTGTGTGCGTGAAGTACACATTTGCTGACATGGGAGGAATCGGTGTGAAATTTCTGTCATTACCATTTACATATACATTGGCACATAAAACTTCTTCTAATCTCTTCCTGTCTTTCTCTCTCTTCTTCATCTTCAGCTGTTCTCTCCATCTTTCCACCCTTGTATGACTCTGTTGCGTTTTCCTGTTAAAATTGTAATACAGAAAAATAAATTTGCCGCAACAGATGGAGCGGAAAATGGATTAGCATTCAACCCCAAACTGTTAAGCGGTGGTACCTTTTCCTTCTCCAAACCACTAAATCAATGTTTATGCATAGGGGATGCAGCTGTATACTTCAGTCTCTGGTATTTTCAGAACAGTTCCCTCTCTCTCTTTGGTCCTATCTAAGAGCGTATTTGCTCAGTTTGTGTGTTTGCATGTGTTTGAGCAGCCAAGGATCAAGGCGGTGCTTATCGGCATCCTTCCACATCACCCGCTGTTTATTATTATTATGTTTCTATACGTACACACCAAGTCCCTCTGGCGCTGTGGGCACCATTTCATTTCCATACCACCTCAAAGGGACCGATACAAGGGCCAGATTTCTTTTAAAATTGGTTAGGCATCAAACCTTAAGGCACACTGTGTTTGGCAGCGTCATTAGTTCAGCAAGAAGGGGATTTGAAAAGTTGAATTGGGTTAAAAGGAAGTCAGAGAGAGAAAATAAGGGGAGAGACATTGTGCATGACAGTTGGATATGAAGAAAAGGCGAGCAGATGTGAAACGAAGTCAGCGTGAGAGGGAAATTTGTATTTGTCAGCAAGGTTTTTGAGAATGCAACGGCAAAATCCCAAAGCAAAGGTAGCTGTTCTGTTTCCTGTGTGTGTCCCGCTGTATTCTCCAAGATATCAGCCAGCACTGGGTCGGAACGCTGCAGCATTTGTTCTCTCTGCAAGGAGATTTCCTAAATCCCTGAAATGAACACTTGTGCAGAGAATGAACTCAGCAGATGATGCAAGACTCACAAACATATCGACACAAAAACACACACGCAAACATGTATAGCAAACATAGTACACTCAGTGAATATGGTGGAACACTTTTGTTGAGCTTTTCGTCTCAAAGCCTCTAGAAATGTAGCCTGAAATAGAAAAAAAGTAAAAACATGGCCTTAATGAGCATGCAAAAATTTCAGATTAAGAAGAGTTCATGACTATTTGAAAACCCAATTCATTTAGTTTGATCGGTTACTTAAGACTTTCCAAAGACTAGAGACTTTCTGATGACGTGGCCCTGCCCACGGCTATGGTGCTTCTGACATTCAGTACAGTGCAGCCATCAGAAATATGTTTGTGTTGTCTGAGTTGCAATAAGAGGATAAAACAGGGACACTGACATTTCAAAATCTTCATTTTAATATATCAGTAATTTCAGTCAATCATTATTTGTATGGCGCAAATTCTAAAAGTCTTATCTCGAGACGCTTAAGAAAAGAACATATGGGATAATATGCAGGGAAGGATTTCTCCTTTTTTATCCCTTGTGTTCCTGTTGTCCACACTTCCTTGCCGCTGAGGTGGAGGTCGTAGCAAGCCGTGAATGAGGACAGCGGGGGTTGTGGGGACGACGCAGTCCGACAGTGGTGGCTGGACGTTAGGCGGTGGTTGAGGGATGACACAATCAGGCGGTGGTGGCTGGGCTTCAGGGGCGTCGGGTGGTAGTTCTGCCAGGTCACCTCGCTGAAGGTTGTGGGAGCTCCGTCCACTGGAGAGCCTGGCTTCTTTCTGCTTTGCAAGTTCCAAAATGATTTGCTAAACATTAGTAATAATCAACAACAGAAGTTTAATGTCTGCTGAGATGGCCTTATTTAAATCTCCGATCATTGATAACTGAACTCAACCTGCAGAAGCTTAGCAAAATCTCAATGATCATCAATGGCCAAAAGAAAACTCTTTCAGTTGAAAAAAAGACATCTGTGGGGAGATGGTCTGATAGAAACCGAGTTGTATACTGTGTGTTTGAAATAGGACTGACATTTGAAGGGATTGAATTGAATTGGTTGTTTTTACCTCATTACACACACTTTGATTTACCAGTACCTATCTGAGCTGTGTGTTAGCTGCTGCAGGGTTTGACAAAATGACAGGGGGAGAAAAATGAAAGAAACAAATGGAACAAAAATGTTAGCAGCAGTGTTCTAGAAAAATGACTGAATATTAAAAGTCCAGCTTTTGGAAATGCATTCTTTTGCCTGTGTCTTTCAGAGTTTGTTTGTACAAAGTGTCTGCAGTGTATTAAGTGCACTTCCAGGCTGTTGATTTCCTCCATATTAAGCTCTGAGTGTCCTCTGTGCCTGTCCACTAATGAGCCGCATGCCGAGTTACATTTTCACCCTTTGCTGACGAACAGACGTGTTGAAGAACATTACGTCTCTGTGGTTTCTCATTTTGTCCCTTTTTCCTCTTTAGAACTTGTCTGGGCCAAAGATTAGGGATATTCAAGATGTCCCACTGATAAACACAGTAGTTGTTCCAAAGTGCTGGCTCTATTTTTCACTTGATGTTTATCTCTTCCCCTCTCGACTGTCTTCATGCTGTTTTTGTTTGTCTCTTTTGGTTTATGTTTGCCCCTGACTCACTTAATGACATTGCTGTATAAAGTCGATTCAAAGTGTGAACTTGTTTTTGTCATAAAAGGAGAAAAATAAAGTTTAATGCTCCTCTTCACACATTTTAATATTGTCTACATCGTCAGTGTTCCTTTAAGGTCAACCATCATGTAGTCATACGTCGCTTCTGTTGTTTTCTAGGAGAGATTTGTGCCTTCAAGGTGTACGGCCAAGATGCTCCGTTCGAGGCTGTGGTGTTGAATCGCACATCAGGAGAAGGAGTGGTGAGGGCGAGCAGCCCTGTGGACTGTGAGAGCCAGAAGGAGTACACCTTCATCATCCAGGCCTACGACTGTGGGGCCGGAGCCAGCGGGGCCGACTGGAAGAAATCTCACAAGTGAGTTAGCTGATGTCTGCTGATGTGTCGATGCTTTAGCTGATTCAGCCACTTAAAAGACAGACGTTTTCAGACATGTGTATGCGTGTGGTTTATGCCAAAACAATTTGCTTTTAGTTTCCACAGAATAGAAGAATCCTAACCCTTTAGCATTCTCTCCGCTTTTTTGTCCCTGTTTTTGTTTCCTCCTTTTCTTTGTACGGACTGAAACGATCATAGCAAGACCTCCAGAATCTGTGATTGGAGCTGCATCCCTACACTGGTCTGTTCTTCGATGTAATAGAGAAATAACAGACCTCAGATGCTGTACTTGATTAATCGGAAGCAAGTCTTTAACACAGTGATGTAATAATTAATATTTAACCAATGGCCCACTGATGCAGGTGCTGGCATTTGCTGTTATGTCAAATATTTTCTTCCTTGAAGATGAGTCTTTTGTTAACAATCACAATCATTGCACAGTAATGGACACATTTTCCATCACTCAGCAGCGGTTGGTCCACCGGAGAGGATAAATGGAGCAAACATGACAAAGTATCTCTTTACCTTTCTTTATGTGTGCGCAGCGTTTTGTTTGCTCTTGTCTCTGCTTGCGGTTATGAGTCTCTATACAGTACACATCTAAACCAGGTCCAAACCAAGACAAAACAAAGAAAACATAACATCAATGTGGTGACTTAAAACAGACTGATATCATTAAGTTTAGTTCTAAAAAACCTGCATGCAATTCCTGTTCTTCATCACAGTCGATGTCGTCAAAGAGAATGATATGGTTGATTTTATTGTCTGGTTGAGTTTAGAGAACTCATGCAAACATGAGAACTAAAAAAAAAACATGAGAAAAATGTTCACTCTCAATATTTGCTTTTCCATAGCTGTGTTTTATTTCTTTTGAAATGGTTTGCAATATTTTTTCCCCAACAAACCACTTGGGATCCTGAATGCAGAAACCTCCTATAGTAACTTCTAAATCTGAACTTAAATTAAGCAAGACTGTGTATCTGTGGGTTTACAAATAGCACGAGTATTTCACTGTGTAAAATACGCCAAAAGATTCTTCCTGTCTTAGATTTGAAATGTGTTTGCGTTTAGATAATAAAAGGGAAGGCTTTTTTTCTAACTTGGCATTGTTTTAAGTAAAAGCCTGTCACTTTTACTGTCACTCCACCAACTCTTCATACACTATCTGTCTGTTCTGCTCTCTTTGTGAAACTTTCTTTAAGCTGCCTACAAACTCAAGTTATGTAAAGGGTGACTGTCACATCGTGTATTAAAGTTGTCACATAGTGCTTATTATGATCTATCGGGCCTCACTTGTTTAGCTGTCACAGTCATTCACATTCAAAGTGGGCGGACAATAACGGCAAACGTGGATAAAAACAATAATACACTTTCAAGTTTGAAAGAATGATGGTCAAGAGGCAGCTGCACAAATGACTCTGATTAAGTTATCAATCAGGAAAGAGCGACAGTCATAAGTCTAGCTTAAGACAGAAAAACAAGTGATTCATTATCAGTACTACTAAGAAACATCTGTCTGATGTTGCTGTTAAAAACATCATACATCAGAATTATAAAGTGGCACACTACTCCGCTAACCTGCATCATTGTTATGATGTTATTGCTGTCTTCAAACCACTTTATAATTAAAAATGTTTGAATGACTGGAATGTAAAGTAATGCAAAGTTAAAGGAAGACATTTTACACGTAAATATAGCAGAAATCAATTATATGCTATGTAAATGATGTCATGACTGTCTACAATGAGTGAGAAGCACAAGTCTTGCCTGCTGTGTTGTTGTCTGAGCCGTGTTTACATCATGTTTACATGAATGGGATGGCCGACTCCTCTCTTTGAGTATAAAAGCTGTTCTAGTTAACGACTGGAGCAAAGAAGAATAACATACTCACAAGGTAATTGGATGTCACGTAAGGGTTTTTAGATCATGGTGATTCCGTGAAGATGTATGCAATGTAAAGCTTCAAACTAACTAAAGTGTCCTTACATTAGCCTGCTGTCACAACAATGCAGACCACAGTCAATTGAAGCTCAAGCCAAGGACAATTTTCAGGACTTGTGCTAAACTCCTTCATGGGAACATGAGTGTAGGGGGGTTGGAGGTGTGTCGCTGGAGAAGAGCGGATGTGTGGCAGAGGTGTCGCCAAACAGCAGTTTGCTTGGGTTTCATGCCGGTGCTCAAGAGCGACGCATTCTTTTTAAAGATTTATTTTTGGGCTTTTTGTGCCTTTAATGGAGAGATAGGACAGTGGATAGTCGGAAATCAGGGAGAGAGAGAGTTGGGAATGACATGCGGGAAAGGAGCCACAGCTGGGATTCAAACCCGGGCCGCCCGATTGGAGGACCAAGGCCTCCATACATGGGGCGCGCGCACCAGCCACTGTGCCACCAGTGCCCCAAAAAAATAAATAAATTGCACATTCTTCCTTTAAGGTTACTCATACTTTTTGTTTGTTATTTACGCACAATTTGAATTTTCTGCTTAATCAACTGTAAGAAGGTCAAAAAGTGAGTTTGTCCAGTTACAGTAGTGGTTAGAAAACTGTGAAAATTCTAATTTACATGTAAGCGGGCATTTGGAGTTGCGTTTTTTTAATATATATTTTTTTCTGTTTGTTTGTATATATTCTTGTTTTTGAGTAAAGATCCTCATGACTAGATCCCTTTGTAGCAATTTAATCTCATTCCTGGGTGTCTATAGAAAAAGAAAAAGCACTGTACATGAAAACTATAAGCATTCTGTATTTTGTGCAAAGAGTAGAAAATGTTCATGAAGTCTCCAACTGTGAGAGCATACTGCATGTGAACAGCCAGGTCGGGAGAATCTCCAGAGCAGTCCTCCCGTAATTATCTAGATATTATCTGGAGTGCATATGTCAAAACGGCTATAGTAAACTATAAGAACTCCACTTGTACCATTGTAGCATGCTTATGCATTCTAAGGTGTTATCCGACAAGTTTAAAAAAAAAATGTTATTTTTTAAACTTGCATCAGATATAAAGAAAAGTTACTTTTAGGTTTATTTACATTCGTCTTTGCAGTTTCTTTTTTCTCATCTTTCTTAGTTTTATTTCACATGACATTTTTCTGTGGAGTGACCGTGACAGCTGAGACTTGCAGTTCTGTTCTCAGGATGTGTCCCCCTAATGGCCCATCAACATTCCATGCTTCTTTGTGTGTATGACAGTGCTGTGTGGATAAGACTGACAGACAGAAAGACAGACCGACTTACATAGACAGCAGCAAATCAAACTCAGTGCTGCTTCAGTCAGACAAGGAGTTGCTGAAATAAAATGCTTCAGGCTCGGCACTAAAGGGAGAGAAATTTATCATCTCAGGGATCTGTGATGAATTTCACCAGAGGATGATGTATGAAGGTGTGTGCGTGTGTGTGTGTGTGTGTGTGAGTGTGTGTGTGTGTGTGTGTGTGTGTGTGTGTGTGTGTGTGTGAGAGTGTGTGTGTGTGTGTGACATTATCACTGCATGACATTCTAAATAGGCCTCATTAAGCTAATGTCATTAATTAGCCAGATGTGCTTCTTCAGATACACCGTGAGTTGTAGTCAGAGAAGGTCACTGGTGAGGAAAAACTTCACGATGCACCTAAATTATTGCTTCATTTATACACTTTGCTGCACAAATGTTATCTGATTGCCTTATTAATATCTTCAGCGGCCGATTCCAGCAGATTTGGTGTTTATTTGTTTCAGACTGTGAAGGAAGGAGAAACTGAATGGAAAAGTAGAGAGAAAAACTTGTAATATTTTCAGATGATCTTTCTTTGCTAGATCTGCTATGGCTGAGCCTGAGCCAGTACATAAGCTTTTTGAATCAAACTGAACATACTTATGTTAACCCATTTCACAGAATCATTCTGATAAACAAGCTGTTTTATGTGGTTTCTTTTTTTAATCAGCTCTTTTCAATCCCGTTTTTCAGGAATTAATCTGCCTTTCCTCGATCATAGAAACTGTTTTCCTCTCTCACTCTTCTGCCTTTAGCTAAACACTGTCTTCGGGATAAACAGCAAAAAAAACCTTCAGTTCCCAATTAATTTAAATCATCTCTAATGACTTAAAGAGATTCTTCTCTCCTACCTTCCTCCATCCGTCTCTTACTCCCTTGTGTCTTAACTTTTCCTTATCCCCATCAATCATTTCCACCTCACTTTGTTTGCATCCTACTCTGCTTCTTTTTTTGCCTAATGTGCTCCATCTCTTTCTCCCTGCTCCCTCTTTCTTTCTCTCGTGCGCCTCTATACAGGGCGGTGGTTCACATCCAGGTGGATGACGTCAACGAGTTCAGCCCTGTGTTTCGAGAGCTGCTCTACAAGGCATCAGTAACAGAAGGAAAGATCTATGACAGCATTTTACAGGTACACTGATCTTACATTTGAACATAACCCAACCAGGCTCACTCATAAATGTTTAAGTCAAGATGGTTTAATAACTCTGCAAAAACACATCCAGTTTAAAATGTGAGATATTTCCATTACCAGTATTCCATTCAGTGTGTTTAAACTGTGAATGACACAGTTTGTTTTGCTGTTTCAGGTGGAAGCTTGGGACCAAGACTGTTCACCACAGTACAGCCAGATCTGCAACTATGAGATTGTCACTGCAGGGACGCCATTTGCCATAGACCGCAATGGTGAGTGTGTGGGTTTATGTGTGTGTTTGAATGTGTCTTGGCTGAATCAGAGACTGGACTGTAGTTATAATTGCTCATGTGATTAGGAGAGACGTACTCTGAGTCTCCGAGAGAGAAACTAGGAAGGCACAGTTTGATTTCCTGCCGGCTGGAAGTATTCAATTTCTTACACTGCAGGGCCATTACTGGTGAGACTCTTATTAGAATTGTAATGTAGGTCATGAGAACTGGAAGGTGCCAGTTTTTGTGTTTTTATAGTATAATACCAACTCATGAACAAGAGCAGAAACTTTAACATCAAGTGACTGTAATGTTTCCTGAATTAATTCTAACCCAAGCCTGAATCGAACCAAAGAAACAAAACTATACTCTTTGGATAATAAATCAACTCTTTTCAATGACAATAGCACTTAAGTTTTCAAGAAATAACATTAATACTTTTTGATGTTTAATTTGACTTACATGTTTAATTAGTATTTTCTGAGGGCAATGCAAGGCCCTATTCTGTTTTCCTCTTAAATAAAACGTAAACCTTTAATTAACTTAATGGACCTCACAGTGAGATTTTCTTCTCTACCTTCTTTGAACCTTACTTGAGATATGTGTTAAAGCAGTGCTGCTTTCATCACACTCAAACACAAACAGAATGGTTAATGAACTGATAAAGGCAACAAAAGCCATTCTCAGGCAAAATGTTCATACCTTCTGTGTATGATCAGGGCCATCTGAATATCATGTGAGCATGAACAAGTCTTTACTAAAGATAGACATGAGAGAGAGAGAGACGCCTGAACCTGGAGATGAACAGTGAAGCAGACAGTCAACACTTTAAAGAAACAAGGATTATTTAACTAAAAGAAAATAATATATTTCAGTTTTTTACAAAAACTGCTATAAAACTTTATTTTTCTCTATGTGAGGTAAACATTGCACCAGAACTCCTTTTTAAAGACGTACAACAAACAAATAACAGTACAATAGTTCATTCATCCAATAATGTTGTGATCTACATAGCAGCCTTTTTATCAGTTTATTCTTCAAATGTAACTTGACACAGATCCAACTTTCTTTGGCAGCCTCTTCTTTTATTTTGTTTCTGTTTTCTTGTGTTTGTAGCTTTAACCTGTTCTAGTTGCCTGGTGGAGAGCAGTAATGTATTTGTGATTGAGAGCTATTCTGAGCACATCCTATGTACAATTTCAGTGTTGGGATTTGTGCTGCCTTCTCCCTGAGCTTCCACGTCCTTCAGTTTGGATTACACTGCTCTCCTGATCTGAGAGCAGCTGTGTAATCCAAACTGAAGGCAGGCTGCAGGTCTCTGTGTGTCAACTTCTGCCAATAGATCAGACAGTGGAACACACTGATTCTTTATCTCTCTGGGGGTCATACTTATTAGTTTGTCTCGTTGCTCTTTGAGTTTGACCTCCTGTTCTTTAACTCACCGTAATTTACAGTCTGATTAGTTTGATTTGATCTCCTCTGGGGCACAATGTTATGTTTTATGAGGAACTGAAGACACAGCACCTTCTTTTAGATCCATCTTTTAGAGCCATTGTTGAATTTTGAACAGTAGAGATGAAATGATTGCTGTTAGCACTTCTATGTTATTACATCTCTCTGCTTAACTTGATTACTTACTGACTTACAGACTTGTTTAAACATAGTTTGTTCAAAAATCTGCTTTCTACAGAATATATTTCCCTTCTCCAAGCAGGGTGTTGATCACTTGTGTTAAAACACCTGCGAGGTGTAATTCCTCCTCACACATATAATCTCTAAATTTTCAGCTCAAGAAGGAGAATGTGTATCTTCTTGTGACTCTGCTTATACCAGAAAGTCTCTGTTAATTGTATTTTGCACCTTTTTTTCCCTGTTGTTATTCGTATGTAAGGAAATGCCATTTACATATATAAACGTACTAAACAAAAGCTAGAGCTGCAACTTACAATTATATTCATCATTAGTTAAGTTGTGCTTTACTTTTATGATTAAGTTAGTCTAGAAAATGTCTAAAAACAGCACACCAAACCCCCTTAAACCAACCCAGAGATAAGGAAAGTCCAGTTCAACAAATTCTGGCCTGGGAATCACAACTTGTTAAGCAGCTAAATGCTTTTTAGGGTTGAATAATATTACTTTCATCCTGGAGATCTAAGTACAACTCAAGAGGGACAATGTATCTGATTTGATTGTGTGAGCTAAATTCTAATGTGATGGTCCATCATGTAACTAATAATGTACATTTTTTTCCCCCGTTATCTCAACACCAAATTTAACAAACCTCAACCATATGTTTTACTGTTTTTTAAGAAAAAACATTTCCCAAAACACTGAATAAAAGATTTTCTATACTGAGAATAATTTTACAAAGATCTGTCCTTTTTTTCATACTATTAGCTTTATATAAAAATAGAGAGCTGATGGTGAGCTTTTTCACATCTTTCACCCATGTTAGCTTTTTATGTCACTTTGCTATTCATAGAATTGCTTTAAACTGAATTAAATGCTTAATCATTGATCAAAATACTTAGTTATGTTTATTGTTTACACCGAATGATTAAAGGCTTTATATGCGTTGTCTTTATCATGCTCGTGTCTTCACACTGCATGTCAATTTACCCGAAATGAGCGTGATCTAGAAACACAGTTAAGCAGTGAGTACAGTATGGTATTCTTCTTTTCTCTAGTCCCTCAATTAAACAACTTTTATCTGCGAGGGGAGGAGTCAGCCGCCATCCCGCCGATGTCAACAAACTGAAAATATGACAGACAGTGGGACTCCCATTGTAGACAGTCATGACTCACAGAGTTATTTTCAGACCTTGATTTCTATTATAGTTAAGTGTGAAAAATAGCATATAAAGCCTTTAACTGACTAATCATTACAGCTCTTTAGTAACCAAACTTACTGAATGAAAATTGATATGTCACTCTTTGAGTAATTTAATGAATGTGAACAGATATGAAGAAGCTTTATTTATTTAAAGGTGCACATTAATGAACATAAACATGTAAATGTACCAGATTGTAGCCATAGACTCATTTTCATATGTAGTACCTTGGCAGATTGTTGATACACATGTATACAGATATAACCACAATGACAAATAAAAACCAAACAACGATGAATGACAAAACAACATCAGAATCAGAAATACTTATTAATCCCAGAGGAAAATTCAGTTGGCATTGTCCAAGATGCAATGCAACTTAGTTAGCATCCTCCTCTCTGACACCACCGTCAGAGAGTCCAACTCCACCCCAATAACGTCACTGGCCTTACGGATCAGTCTGTTTAGTCTGTTGGAATCTGCTACCTTCAGCCTGCTGCCCCAGCACGCAACAGCAAAAAGGATAGCACTGGCCACCACAGACTCGTAAAACATCCTCAGCATCGTCCTGCAGATGTTAAAGGACCTCATCCTTTCGGAAGTAGAGTCGGCTCAGGCCCTTCTTGTAGACGGCCTCGGCGTTCTTAGACCAGGTCAATTTATTGTCTATGTAGACTCCCAAGTATGTGTAGTTGTCCACAATGTTCCAGTTCCTTGGTCTTTGCCAGGTTGAGCTGGAGATGGTTTTGCTCACACCATGCGACAAAGTCACCCACCGCAGCCCTGTACTCAGCCTCCTCACCCTTGCTGATACGTCCAACTACAGCAGAGTCATCAGAAAGCTTCTGAAGATGGCAGGACTCTGTGTTGTAGTTGAAGTCCGTGGTGTAGAGGGCGAAGAGGAAGAGGAGACAGGACCGTCCCCTGTGGGGCCCCAGTGCTGCTGACCACTCTGTCCGACACACAGTGTTGTAGACGCACATACTGTGGTCTGCCAGTCAGCTAGTCCACAATCCAGGACACGAGAGGAGCCTCCACCTGCATTGTTGTCATCTTCTCACCCAGTAGAGCCGGACGGATGGTGTCAAAAGTACTAGAGAAGTCAAAAAACATGACCCTCACAGTGCTGTCCGGCTTGTCCAGGTGAGCGTAGACCCGGTTCAGCAGGAAGGTGATAGCGTCCTCGACACCCAGTCGGGGCTGGTACGCGAACTGGAGAGGATCCAAGGGGGGCTGACCGTTGGTCGGAGCTGATCCAGGACGAGTCTGTAGTCCTTGGCGTCGCTGGGGCGCGGTGTGTTTGGCACAGGAAAGAGGCAGGACGTCTTCCACAGCACCTGACGATTGTGGGCTGTGAGGAGGCAGAGGGGGGCTGTGGGGTGGCTGGTCGCTGCAGGTAGGGACCTGATGAGTCAGTTGGGTGGTGAACAGGGGCCATGTCAAATCTATTAAAAAAATAGATTCAGTTCGTTGGCCCTGTCCACACTGCCTTCAACTCCTCTACTGCTGCTTGACCTGAAGCCTGTGATGGTCCTCATGCCACTCCAGACCTCCCTCATGATGTTCTGCTGGAACTTTCACTCTGGAACTGGCCTCCCTAATGTTCACTTCTAGGACCCCCTGTATTGTTCTCACCTCCTCTTGATTTCCATCTCTGAAGGCCCTTTTTTTGGTGTTGAGGATGGCCTTGATGTCCTTTGTTATCCATGGCTTGTTGTTTGAATAACAAAGGACAGTCCTTGCTCGAACAGTGCAGTCCACACAGAAGTTGATGTAATCTGTGATGCACTCCGTGAGCCCGTTGATGTCCTCTCCGTGGGGCTCGCAGAGTACTTGCCAGTCAGTCACCTCAAAGCACCCCTGCAGTGTGATATAGGCCACCTCCGACCATCTCCTCACTTTCTTCTTGGTTGCAGGCAGCCTTTTAACCAGAGGTACATAGCAGGGGGTGAGGTGAATCAAGTTGTGATCTGGCATTCCCAGGGGGGGAGGGGAGAGGAGCCGTATGCGTCCTTTACATTGACATACAGCAGATCCAGGGTCCTCTCTCCCCTGGTTGAGCAGCTGACATACTGGGTGAAGTCAGATAGTAGTCAGTTTGGAGTCTGGTTACGACGGCGTGAATGACGTTACATGCCGTCATCGGGTTCGCAGAGGGAGGGATGTAATCAGCCAGCAGAACAACGTGTGAGAGCTCCCTGGGCAACCAATATGGCCAGAGTCCCACAGCAAACAGTTCAATGTCCGGGCCACAAATACGTTCTTTAATCGTAATGTGACCAGGATTACACCATTGGTTGTTAATGAGAACGGCAAGCCCCCCGCCCCTTCTTCTTACCGCTCCCGGTGGCATCCCGGTCGGCCCGGACAGTCTGGAATCCGTTGATGTCGGGAACATCGTGATGCAGCCACGTTTCAGTGAAACACATCAAGCTGCACTCCCGATACTCCCTCTGACTCCTTATTTACGCCATTACCTCGTCCATCTTCTTCGCCAGGTACCTCACGTTACCCGTGATGAGAGTCACAAAAGTGACAAAGCTGGAGCATTCCCTGACTGACAGTGGTAAGCTGTTCCATAATGTGATCCCTTTGAACGACAAAAACACTTTGATCAAACGTGGATCGAGAACCTCGTACTGTTACTCTGCTTCACACCAGCTGTGGATCACATAGTAACTGTAGGAGACTTTAGTAGGAAGTGTCTGCCTCTGACCTTAGCACCTTTCTTCCTCTGACATTTCCAGCTCTGTTCTCCTTTTTTCTCTTGTGCTGTGCTCTGAACTGATTCCTTCTGTACTTGCTGTTCCTCCTCTCCACTGGTCTCCCATCTTTTCTTCCTCTTTTCTCTCCTCGCTCTCTCTTTCTCTGACAGCCATCAAAGTGACAGCCTTTCATACAGCTGAGCCTTCAGATGCAAACAACAGAAATAGCTTCAGCTGGCCTGTCAGGTCCAAAGACACACTGTGACGACGATGACTGATGCAAAAAAATATTAAAGGAAATAGGAATAGGACATTATTTGAAGCCTGTTGTTTATCTCCAAGAACATCTGTATTAAAGCCTCACTTATAAATAATGTGATTAATCATATTCTTGAAAGGATTTTTCTTTCCACTTTGATGTTTTTCTAGCTATACAGTATCCTCTCCGCTGCATTGTTAACATCGAGATCAGTCAGTGCAGCAGAGTTTACGATTGTTACACCAGTCTTCCTTGGATGTATTCCCTAGCGACTCAATTTAGCTCGTGTATTTTTTCATACTTTGCCAGTCTCCTGAAAAACATGCACATCTCTACACTTTCACACTTTTAACAGCCGCTACTGTCAAGTGATCATCATACTGCAGTTTCTCTCAGGTCAGACCTTCTAAAACATAGCAGGAATTCATCAATGAAGGGAATTCAACTTCCATTGACTTTACAACATAAAATATACAGTACGCACACTGATGAGACAATTCTGATGCATTGTACCACGGCTAAAATCAATTCAAATCTGCTGAATGTTGCAGCTCAATGCATAAATATTTATTTCTAGATGAAGGTTGTTTACATGGCATCAATTCACAAAATGTCCAGTAATCAATGGAATACATCAGATTCTCTCTCTCTCTTTCTCTCTCTATCTCTCTCTCTTGATAGTCCTTCCTCTTTTCTTTTTGGATCTGTCTGTCTGTGTTTGCGCTTGTTGTCTGCTTTGATAAATATCCAGCCATAACCTCTGTTTGCTACAGTTGAGTACATCTTAATACACCTGGGGCTGCTCCCACGTTTCAAGATTTATTCTCTTCTGTATCTTTCATTCACATAGTATTCAATCCTGCAAAACTCTCCTGTTCCACCAAGTTCATATTTTAAGTTAATATATAGACTGAATACCAAGTAACTTATCAACCCCCTGGGGATTTGTTCAAATGTGCAAATACATTTGCTTTTTGTCTACCGATCGAAATCCCAGATTCCACCAGTTTGTAAACATGGCTTGGAAATATCTCCAAAGTTATTTGACAACAAGTTCACTCACAGACGTCATTCTCAGAAAACGATGTATCAAACATCGGTTTCTGAGAGCTTATTTATGCACTTCTAATATTTCTAGCACCAGAAAGACCATTAGCAGCTATAACGCTCCAGATTACTCATATTGACTCAATTCATTGTCTCATTTGATTGCTGTTAAGTATGCTTGACTGCTTTTCACAATAACATAGCATTTAGATGAAGAGACTGTCGTACCTCAGTTAGAAAGGAATTCAATTTTATATAATTTATTAGTCTTTTACTTGCAATTTAAGGCAGGCAATATTTGGTACATGAAATCATAATACACACACACACACAAACACACACAAGGTCAATGGAAATGGTCTTAATGACACTGACCAACATTATTCAACACAATTAGTGCACATTATGTCAAAAAGCCACATTCTCAACATTAAAGCTATTACCATATAACTCACAACCACAAGCCTCGACGATATTAAACATCTAGTTCAGTGCAAACAGCTTAATTCCTCCCACGAGGAGCATTTTGTTTTGAGGTGATTGATGTAAAAAGAAAAAAATCAATCAAGCAATTGGGCTTTATGTGCAATTAAATCGCGTAAACAATCAATGGGTCATTTAGTAGAGGAGTACCAGGGGGGATCAAGTGTTCTGAATAGAACTTTTTAGTTGGTAAATTAAACAACTGACTTAGGGTAACAGAGAAGAAGTCCAGAAGAAGCCAGCTTTATTGAGAATATTTGTTTCAATTCAGATTCAGATCTCTTGTTTTACTCTCGAACAATAATTTAAAGGTAGTTTCTGCTTTCTAGGTTAGCCTATTAGTCCTATTATTACTGTCTGTATTTGACCTTGTCTAGTGCCTGTGCGGTGAAGACAGGCCTGGAGCATCTCCTCTCTGTCACACTGTTTTCACTCTGTTAGCTGGTTGACATGTTAAGATAATCCATCGTTCAAATTTTACACTAGCTGTTTGCAGAGATGCTTCGACTTTTAAAAGCAGCACAGGCTTACTGGACCCTGAATTTTCACTTAAAGGCTTCAATAAGCACAAAGAGATGGATTTGTTTTCAGTGAACTGTTTCTTTTATTCACAGTCAGTCTTCGTTATTGCTCAGTGAATAGTGTTCCATTCTTTTTAAATGCAAAAATGAGGATAAACTGAATATTTCTTAAGAGTATGTTTTCTATTTGTTTTGTTTCCTTTAGGTAACATCAGAAACACAGAGCGGCTGAGCTATGACAAGCAGCAGAGCTACAAGATCATGGTGACGGCCTTTGACTGCGGCCAGAAGAAAGCAAAGGAGATGTGGCGGTGCATATTGATGTCAAGCCTGTTTGTAAACCCGGATGGCAAGGTCAGAAATAAGAAAAAAAAACAGACAGAATGCTTTCAAAAGATCTCACTTTCTCAGGTAGTAAAATAAAAAGGTGTACCTATTAATATGCTGCCATACAGCGCCCTGACATCTTGTTTAAACATACTTAAATGCAAATGCAAAGCAATGGCATCAAAATTGGAGCAGGTGCAATTTCTGAGCACATCCTTTCCCTCGAGGGAATTTCTATCTTGTTTTAGCACAAACGTCTCTCGAGGAAATCAGAGGACCTGACAAAAACCTCCAGAGGGAAAGTAGACACCCCCCCCCCACTCCCCCATTCCTTCAACACTCTAGCAGCTTGGTGTTCGAACAAGTCCGTCTCCCCTGCTGCTTCACCTGTCAGAGCTGACAGCATCTTAGGAGTCAAGCTCACACAGGAATGAAAGAGGAAGACAGACAGAGACAAGAGGGGAGAGGAAGGAAAGGAAGGAAGAGAGAGATACAGAAGGAGACAGGATGAAGAGATAACTTAAGGAAGAAAGAGACAAACAAAGTTACAGTAAAGGAGGGAGGTTATCCCTACAGTCTTCACAGAGTTGGTAAAAGATCAGACCAGAATATATCTTTCTGTATGCTGTGTAGTTCATAAAACTCTAAACTACTGCAAAGCTGTGGCTTTTATTAAATGAAAGTTTCACCCTCAGTTAAAAGAAAAAAAAACTACTAATCGAAAAAGTGTTCAATTTTCAAATCTGGCTCTGCCACATCATATTAAAATGAAATAATAACAGATTTTCAAGTTGTCTTACCCATAAATCTTGAATTTATTGTGACCTAAGCTAGCATAGTAGCCCAACAGTAAGTTACAAAATAGTTGTTTTGTAGGTAATGTTAATGATGTTCAAGCTGGGTTTGTCCAAAAAATGTGATTAACTATCCTAAACTCAAGGGCATGTCAGAAGTCTTCATTCTAAATTCAGCTTGTTACTCTGGAGTGCAGTACCATTAGTAAGCTAGCAAGTTAGCACCCTATACTTAAGATGCCAGTCTATATAATTACCAGGTGCTTCCTTAGGTTGTTTTTACAATAAATACTAGCTAAAATACATAGGCACAACAAAAAGCGGCCTGCTAGCTGTGACATGGGACAGAGCAATACTGCTCTACAGAATGTATAACAGAATTGATAGATTGCTAATGTTTGAGAAAGTTACATTTTAACCATTAGAGCAAAGATATGAGTATACTTACTTTAACAAACATACAGTCCACATGAAATCAAATCATCATCTGCAAGGTATTCACTCCATTAATATCAAAAAAGAAATATGAGCACATGACATTTAACACTTCATATCTCTGGATAAACTACAAGGTTTTATTGGTTTAAAGTATATCTGACTGTTGATAAGCCAAATAATTTAATTTCCATCTACCAACTTACTCACATGCTGGACATCCTGCCCCATGTGCATTGTACCATTTTATTCTTTAGATAAAGGGTAAAAAAAGACGATTTAGCTGGAACAATGAAACATATTGTTACAGACAGTCAGACTGTCAGTGCACATCACAGAGATGTGGAGACTGAAAAGGAGAGAGGCACTACAGCTCTGTGAAAGTGTGAAATGGCATTAGAAGTTTATGTAAATGTCATTTTTACTTGGTGTCGTAGGCGCTCTTAGGGGGCCATTGATTTTAGCAGAGTATGTCTTAAGATTGAAGGATTTTATTTTCTTTAAAGAGGTATTATATATATATAGAAAAACAGGCTGATTTAAAGAACAATAAAGCCATTTACAGCAATTTACCAGCTGGGTCTTCCTGCTCACAAGTCAATGAGCCTCATTTTGAGATCCCTGTGATTTCACAGCTTTATTGACTTCCTGCAGTCGAGTCACAAAAACACACAATTGCTTTCAAACCTTGCTAACATCCTCATCAATGTTGCATAATTCTTTGAGATTTGGCTCATAAAACAGGCAATGGTGCATAATTCTGCTGTAAAACATTAACACACAGTGGCTTTAATCCATGAATAAAACATAAAGCAGTGATGCATTCAAATAGCAAGTCTTTTGTAAGTGTAACCTTATTTATCTTCTGTGGATAAAGGTCACCTGTGTTTCTGCCGTTCTTTTTGAAGAAGGCCCCCCGGCATAAATAGAGGCTAAATGTGTCCTGCTCCACCTCACCTCCTGCTCCTGCTCGCCCACCTGATCACAATTTGTTTCTCTTTTTCTCAATGTTTGTCTCAGTGGATTTGATACCATTTTCTGTAGGCTCGACGTGCCAGGTGTCCACCTACACACACACACACACACACACACACACACACACACACACACACACACATCCTTGTACACATTCATGCTTGTGAACCCGTATAACTACTGTGATTCTGAGATTCTTGTCCATTGAGGACAAATCTACCTGTGTAATGAAAATGTAGTCCTTTAGTCTCATTTTAAATTGACACAGGTAAAACTTACATGGAGAAAATCCCTGCAAATACTTCAAAGTTGCCATCTTTAAGGCCACATATCCTCATTATAAAAACACCTGCAGAACAGCATATAGTTCAATTTCCATCACTTATCTGAGCTGATCAAATAATACTTTAAACCTGGAAGAAATGACACTAGATTTACAACGAGGGCAGGTTAGCAAAGATGAATCTTATAAATAGGCTTGAATGGATTTGTGTTCAATGATTCACATGCACTCAAAACTATCTACTTATTCATGTTCTGGATATCGGATTAGATCAAGTTTTCAGTTTATGCTGCCTTCGCTCAATCCCTTACGACAAAAAACTCTTAAGAAAGTCTGCAAAACACAAGTCATATACTTAACCTTTTCCAAAATGGTACGCATTCTAACATAACCTCTCAATGAAGTATATAACACAAAGATGAAAGCTAGCTCCATCCTCAGTGTCACAGACAGAGAGACTGATTTAAATGGATGTACTTTTATCAATGGGAGATGTTGGTGTCTGCCATGTTTAACACAAGATGAACATCAACAGTTGTTTGAAAATGGCCCTACTAATTCAATCAAACACACATTGTTAATAGAAAACAAAAATGATTAAGAGATGCAAAAGACTCAAGTTCAAAAATAACTAACTCAAATGTGTAACTTACACATTGACAAGTTCATTTTAGTGTAATGTGCATGATGACTAAAGGAGGAAATAGCAGTTATATAGTTGGAAAAAAGTACTTGCTATATACTAACTATGAAACCAACCCTTATAGGTTGGAACAAGCGGGTGGACTATGAGCCAGGTACTGGGAGCAAACAGCTGTTTCCCAAGATGCACTTGGAGACGTGTGGAGGTCCCCTGTCTGGCGTGAAGGCGATGGTGGAGCTGCAGACAAATCACATCGGGAAGGGCTGTGACCGGGAAACATACTCAGAGAAGTCTCTGCAAAAACTCTGTGGTAAGTAGAGAAATGGAGAGAAAAAAAAGAAAAAGAAAAGGGATCTGAAGTCGAAATGATGGAGAGAGAAAGAAAATCAGCTGGCATGAGAAAGAAAGGTACTATTATCAAGTAGAGAACTTTCAGGGAGCAAAGGCTAGTAACACTAATGAACGACAAGGAACATTTAATTCAAAGGAGAAATTACCTCTTGACATCTTTGCCTCTGAAGTCTATTAATACTCAAGTTTCCATGCATATTTAATCCTGAAGACTATTTTGAAATGTTTTCTTCTTTAATTAAATTTCTGAACCTGACCTGTGAAACGTGTTCATTATTTTCTTATAGCCCTGGTACACAGCTATTTGCTGTTATACACAGTGTACTGTACACTTTTTAATCCTCACAAACATATTCAGATAAAATGTGCAATATGAATCATTCTAACTTCTCAGCAAGAGTATTCTCTCTGGAGTTTTATTTTAGATATGAAGAAAAAAAAGGCAAAGATCATATGTGATGAAAACATCTAAGATGAGACTGTACATGTTAGAATAAAAGGGGAAGCTTAAGAATGTTTTATAGTTATTATGGTTAAAAGTGGAATGATGATAATATTGATTGTAACATCTTATGTGTTAATACCACACATACCAAAAACCCAAAGCTTCTTAAGTCACTGTGGTAACAGATTATACTTCATATAGGAGAAAAATGCCGGAGAATAGGACTGTAGTTTCTGAAGCCTCCTCAAAGTGTCCTGGAAATCATTCTGGATTCATTGAGGAGAGTTTATTTCTATTATCTAAGTTCTATTTCTGGTCTGGATTTAAGGAGCAGGTAAATGGCAAGAGCTGACTGAAATTGGGATTTGGTGGCTGATACTGTAACCATCATTAAAGGGTCATCATCAGACAGTATTTTCACTATGGCTGCCAATTTAATTAAGTCTGAATGTAAATTTTAATTATATCACCCATTGGTCATGTTTTTATGAATACTACGACAGGAAGCTCAGAAAGATCTCAAACTCTTTTTTTTTTTTTTACCAGAAGCCACAGAATAGAAGTCAAAATAAGAGCGCTGTGTTTCAATATTTTGGTTTTAGTTAAAACTCCAACTGCGAAATGCTTAATTTTGAATTTAATTTTCCTTTTTGGCATTTTCAGACAATCTTACATCTCATCTTTATTTCATCATTGATATGATTACTAGTCAAATCTACAATCGTGTAATTTATTGAATAGTGTGTCTTGAGAAAAGCATCAAAAAGATGGATGCCTATTTTTTTAATGAGTGAGGGCTATGTTCTCTAAATCTTCAGTAAAGTGCTTATAATATTATCTTTAACTCATCACAAGGGACATGTTGGCAAAGCAAATATTATATTCTTTTAAGTAGAGCAGTAAGTAACCTTGGGTTTGTGACAAAAGCCTTAATCACAGCAAATCTATTTCTAAACTCTCACTGATTTACAGAGTTAAATGTGTCCTTCCTCATTGGTACTCAGAGAAATCACAAGGACATAAACAGACACTGTTTCTCTGGAGATTGATTTGCCGTCCGGCTGTCTTGAAGGTGTTGCCTTTTCTGACTGACACATCCAGGTGCAGCATCAGGCAGCACTGACCTCCTTCCTGCCCCCGGCCCATCCACAAACTGGACGGCGTCTCTGCTGACTGACAGCGGCCGAGAGAGCGACCTCATCTATCGATTCGACGGTCATCAGGCTGCTAATGTTCCGGATCACGTGGTGCCCCAAAACCTGACAGACCAGTTCACTGTAGCTACGTGGATGAAACATGGGCCCAGTCCTGGACTAAGAGCTGAGAAAGAAACTTTACTGTGCAACTCCGACAAGACAGGTGAGGAAACTGTTTCACACATGCTCGTTGTTGTCATGGAATTTACATTTGACCTTCAATTTTCCTGCATGTTAGCCACATTTTTTCTCCTACTTTACTTTTTTGAAGCATTGATGAACTTTTAACTCAAAGTGTCCATCAGAAACATACTATGGACAGAAGATGATCTAAAACATTCTTTCAAATATAATGAAACATGGACTGAAGCCCAGAATGGCAAATGCTTTTTGAAATGTACAACTCATTTCCCATTAAGTTTCTGAACTGAGCCTTCTGAACTGTGTAATTAAAGAAGCCATCTGCACATTGCATGTTCTCACAATGCTCTCACAGATGGCTTATTAGCTCAGGAAATGAGTAGCCTGATCTTGTGATGCAAAACTTCAGAGTTGTCTGTGTTGGACCATCACAATCGTTTCGACTCTTTTCTTTCACTTGAAACTGCTTGTTGAAGGATGTAAATGGCACCAAAAGGCTCAGGGGAAGGGACTGATCAACAACACAGGGCCATCCCATCATTCTTCAGAGTGAGCCTGGAAGAGGAAGGATGGCTTGAACAGCATCATGATGGTTTCTAAAACATGACAGCTTTAAAGCATCATGTTAGAATAATAACCATATTATTCTATATAACTTTATTTATATTAAATATTGCCAATCCTGTGTTATAAATTTGAAATGACCATGATCTCACGATAGGAAAGATTTTTGAGTCTTTTACATAAAATGAAACTTTCTGCATTTGAGAGATTCTAACTTTCTGCATTTTTTATATTAGTTATCATGTAGATATCAACATGTCGAATCTTCATATTTTTACCAGCGGCGTGTCCAGACTGTTTTCTCTGGTGTGGCCCTCAGGGGCACTGACTGATGCAGGGTTAGCATGAAGTTTGTGTGCACACACATGAATTGAAGACGTTTACCCTTTTCTCCACTAATTGTAACTACTTTAACTACTAAAATGTTATAATTTCGTTATCATACACATTATATATTACAGATGATATATTCTTCTACATTATTTTGAAATTATGTTTAGTTTTTCAGCTTTTTGAAATAACACTACAAAGCTGCAACATACAGTATATCTTAATTTTTAAGATTATATTTGAGGCTTTTGCTTTTATTTGGATAGGAGAGCTTAAGATAGACACATTCAGGATCCAGTCTGTGACCAGTGCATTGAGGCCTAAAGCTTCTGTAGCTCCATGGCACGCCTGCACTAATAACTGCGCCCTGCTACATATACCTTATAATCTTAAATCTTTAAGGATTCAATAAGAGTATGTGTGTAAGTCATAATTAAAAGTACAAATAAATGGAAATCTGCTGCATTCAAATGCAAAAAGTAACAATAATACAAGCAGCCTGTTGCAGCATAGCGCAAATAGCAGGTTTTTACAAGTCTTGCATCTGACAAGGAAAATAGCCAATCATTGTTAAGGATTTGGGGATGCCACCAGTAGTGGCCAATCAGATTTCAAGTGGGGCCCATGCCAAGACAAGCTCATCATTGTGAGACCCTTTTAACACAACCCAATAGTATGGACAGTTAATTACTCAAGTCATACTTGCTAAACTAACCCTTTTTAACTTTTATTGGAAAATCCAAATCATTACCTCAACTGTCCAAATGACAGCTTTGTCCTTTTGAAACATGTGTTTATTCAAACTTATTTATCAAAGCAGAGCAAGTAGGACTCTTTCACTGCCTTTTTATGCAGACTTTGGTGGATAATTAAAAAAACACAAACACCAGCAGCATGTACTCTGTCAAAAGAGTTTCACAGTGTTTGGATGCTTCTTGAATTGCTTCTATAGAAAACTTTTAGCAACAGATCTGTCAGCGAACTGTTCTTCAAGTGCAGGCTAATGTCATGTCGAATGTGTGCTGAAGCCGAAAAGTTGCTTTAATCATTTTTTGAAATATTTTGATTTTGTTATCACTAACCTTGTTATGGAACGTCTTTTCTTATTAGTTACATTTGAGCAATTGTTAGTGAATGCCGGCTGGTTGGAGAGGGAGGAAGGTGTGCATTAACACCCCTGCCCCTAAATAGAAAGGTGACTGCAGCGCCTGTGAATTATTAGATGAGTCATTTCAGCTGGTGATGTTTTCCAGGTATGAAGCCATACAGTTTTAGACCGCTATCAAAAGCACCAAAAAGTGACTCACCAACCTCTTTGTCTAAATGTGTGTGTGTCTATTTCTTCCTGTTGCAGAAATGAATCGCCACCATTACTCTCTGTATGTTCACAACTGTCGCCTGGTGTTCCTGCTGAGGAGAGATTTCACTCAGATCGACACTTTCAGACCTGCAGAGTTCCACTGGAAACTGGAGCAGGTGAGAAGTGTGTGCGTGCCTGTAGGTGATTTTCTACAGCAGGTGAAGGGCTATCATTACTTGTATAGCAAGGCGAGAGGCTCTCCATTCTAATTACCAGAGGCCTTCCATCACTTTCTGCACGCTGGAGGAGATAAGAGGGCAGAAGACCCTGTTATCCTACACACACACACACACACACACACACACACACACACACACACACACACACACACACACACACTGTTTAGTCATTGGTAATAGCTCACCTGCAGCAGATCTCTATTATCTGTCACACTTCTTGAGAGTTGTTAAACTAATTTGCAGTGAGGTTTTGTGTTCAGTCCTGCAGAAACCCTCTTAAAGGAAATATCTACTCAGCTCGAAACATGCATATAATATGAATTCTGTTCTGACAGTATGATACACAGTGCATTTCTTACTCGAATTATCCTGAGATGTTAGCTTAAAAAGAAGTAAATAAAATTGTGCATGTGTGAAAAGGCTATGGGTCAGAAGATGGACCAGACAAACATACATTGAAAGTGAAAAAGTTGCAGCAAACTGTAGCGTGGGTCAGATTTCCCTCATCCCTCACCGACAAGAGACTTGACCCTGAGTTATGTAAACCAATAAGACGACGGCAGAGGATGTAACATTAAAAGTTATAGTCGCGCTGCATTCAAGTGATTAAAGCAAACAATAGAAAGATGACTCTCTCTGTACATTATGGGTAAAATGAACAGTGACAGATTCCTTTTTAAGAGCACTTGAGTTTTGCCTTTGTGTTAAGGGGGTTACAAACAATCATCAGTTCATTATGGAGTATGGCAAAAAGTTTAATTATTTTTCTTACTTCCACTACAGATGCTGGTATTCTCTGCTGACTTCATCCAATTTAATGCTGCTGCTTTTGCACACTTTCATTAAATCAGGTTTTCTGTCACCCAGAATCCAATGTTATTGGAAGTGTCAATGTTGTCATGACTTTATAAACCGGTGCAAAAAATGTGCTAGTAGTTTGATCTCTCTTGAGCTGTATCCAATGAACCAATGATCCAGTAAATAGGCCCACCGTGTGTGTTATATCTCAAAGTAGATAAACAAGTTTTAGTAAACAAAGTGAAATCTGATTTTACCCCCAAAAAACTGCAGAGGCAGACAAGTGACTGTGGAGAGGGAAGGATTAAGATCTAACTCAAGGACACCTCAGTAATTCACACTCTTGAATGAGAATAATCCAACTGAACAGTATGTAGTCGCTCCAGCTCAGCAGGCCGTCACTGAGCAGAGAAAATCCTTCTGTGAAAAAAAAAAATCCTTGCAGTCAAAATGATTTTTATGATAAGCCAATAAACTCCCTTTGCACGGGAAGTTTCTTTTTCCACACACTGCCCTGCGTAATTGTAATGGATAGGATGGATGGTAGATGTAAATGTAATCTAATCGCTTGCCCTTGGGACATACAGAATATATCCACCTCGTACTGAAATGATTAGAAAATGCTTCATAATTACAGCAAGCTCTCACAAATGTGTGCTCACTAAGAAGGGTTTTTATTTGGGTCTCTGGATGTGAGAGTGCAATGATGTATCATCATGTGCAACCTTTCTGAAAATTACTTTTGTTTTTATTTGTTGTTGTTTTTTTTTTTTTTGGCAACTTAAATCAAACAAAAGGCTTTAGTTCCTGTGTGCACACAGTGTGCTGTCTTTGCAATTTCTCTGCGCTGTTGGGTGTGTACCTTCTAACCAGGTGGTTGTTTTTCTAGGTCAAAGGGAGATTCACAGTTTTTCTCAGCCTAGTGTTCTTATCTCTGGAGGATCACAGGGACAGATGTGACAAAGAGAAGGGCCAGCCAAGAAGCAGACAGTTTTCTTAGCAAACAACCCAAAGACTTAGCTTTGACTGATCATTCTCACTTCTCCTCTGTCTCTCTCTCTCTCTCTGTGTTTTATTAATTTTCTCTCATTCTATCCCACACTCGAACACAGATGATATTAAAGAAAGCAGGGATCCCATTTGCTCCTTTACTTGGATCTTTAAAAGAAGCATGGAGAAAGCTTGTGGAGCAGTCAAAGAGAATACGTGATGAGTTACTCACCACTACAAATCACTTGTGCAGAGACTCTCATAAAATATAAATAGGAACTGGTCTGAAATAGCAGAGATTAACCAGTGTAGGGACATCTTACTTAAAACAAATGGACAACCGGAAGAGAAAAAAGAAATACTTTTAGCGCTCTTTAATCCTTTCCCTTGGATTTAGCTGCTTCACCTGCATATAGTATGACTTCTTATGATAGTATTTTATTGCATTTTAAATGATAATTCTGTGAAAAAGGAAACATGCAAACATTGAGGTGAAGATAGCAGTGCTGTAGTGGTTTCTGGATTTTTGTATGAAGTTCTATTGTTAGGAAACGTCTCTTGTGGCTGGATTGCATTATTGATTAAGGACTTCTGCCGAAGGAGAAACTTGTGTCTCTAACTTGTTTTACAATTGATTTCGGTGTGTGTGGGGGGTCTTAAAGCATCTGAGACTCTGACATCAAAACCTCATTTGTGGCTTGAAGCAGCATGCAGTGTTTTGTGGCAAAGAGAAGTGTAAAACCATGTGTATGAAAACAGTTGTAGCCTTGTATAAATACAATAATCTACTTGTATATTTTTGGCCCACAAACACACCACAACTTGTGATCTTAAAGGTGTGAGAACATTACCACTCACAAGGTGTAAACAGCACCAGAGGGGGGCTGTGAATGCTGAGTAATAACTAATCACGTTCTGATAACTACTATATGATAAGTGTTTAATAGTTATCTTTTTTTAGGGAGCATAACTAAAAGTGGCATTGTGTCAGATAGCTGTCCTTCTGTGAGGAACAGTTTTTCGACTGGATTTATAGTTTCATTATCTTTGCTTTAGTGTTCTGCTGTGAGGAACTTTGATGGTGCTGTTTTGGGAAAATGTGCACTGACAAAATGTGCATAATATGCAGTTAATACATGTACTTTATACTGTAGTAGAGTAGTTTATTACATGAATTAAATGTGATAAGAACAAGTTATACAATTCAGATTTCACGCTAGCATCTTTAGCATCTATACTCTATTTAAATAAATTGGAAAAAAAAAAGGTAGCAATACTTCATTTAAACACCAAGAATGTGTCAATCCATGAGTATAGAGATTCATATTATTTTTATTTCCAAGCATATTGTAGCCCTACAGGCTCCAGCCAGCTGAACAGTTATTAACCACACTGAACTCACGTTTGGAGTCTTAATGGTAACTCTTCTGCATAAAAAAAGGATTAAACAAGGATAGGTGACGTTTATTGTACTTCACAAGTCCAAAAACCTCGGCAACAGCAAGCCTGCATGAATGCCAGCCTTGTTTATTTCCTTTCAGACGCCCCCGCCTTGTGAACACTCATTTTGCATACTAGGCCAATTTAAGAGTTTGTATTTCAGTTTTGTTGTGCTTTTTAGTCTTGTTGTCTGTATTAGGTCGGGTCGCTGTATTTGCAACATGATACCATTTTTTTGTCATGTGCATGAGGTTATCTTAATTCACATGTGTTTTCTTTTATTGCCAACACACAGTGAGGCAGTCCTACACAATACAGCCAGTACATTCTTTTCAAACTTACTCCAAGTCTAACTTCTTACACATTTTATTTTCTATTATTTCAATAAAAGGTGAAAACTTGTCCTGTGATTGTTCTGATAATAGCTTATCTAAGCACAGGAGATGATGCTACAGAGCCTTGTTTAGAGTAGTGAGAACGAGCTCACAGAGCGGTACAGACTGTGGATAAAGGAGTGTGATGACTGAGGCCAGAAGGAGAGGAGGGGACTTTGGGGTGTTACAGCTGCTTCTGTCCTTGTTCCTCCAGCACTTAGAAAGGACACTCAATGGCTTCCGCGGCAACTCCATTTAGCTCTATTGATTTTGCAATTCTTACTCCGAGTGAGGAGGGGTGGAGGAGGATGAGAGGAAGCTGGCAGAGAGAGAGGCTTTCATTTTGCAAGTCGATCGAACACACTGAAGGAATATCACATTTGACAGAAAGATGTGCAGGTATCTTTAAAAACGGACACTGACTTATCTGTTAGTGTATAAGCACACACACACACACACACACACACACACACACACACACACACACACACACACACACACAGAGGATGCCTATTTACTCTCTTCTTTTTCAGCCCGGTAATGGACTACTAGAGGATGGATCACTCCTCTCTTAGCACATAATTCTCTTCCCCAGAGTCTAGAGAGAGCATCACTTCAACCCAGCTGTTCAATAGATAGTCTCTCACAGTTAAAAGGGCCTGTACAAATCATCATTCACTCTACTAATGTCTTTCAAAATAAAGGATGGGAGGAATGCGTAAAACATGCAAAAAGAAAATCGAATTAAGCAGAGGGGAGGGAAAGAATAAACTTACATAGATTAGTGAATCAAGAGGAAATACAGTTTCACTTTGTGTTGCTTTCTTTACTCAAATTAAATATGAATAACCTTTAAGTCAACCGCCTTAGCGAGATAAGGAACAGGAGTATGTGCAATTTGGCCTTGTTCTAAATCTTTTGAAATAAGGTGCTATTTACTTTATTTAATTTAAGAGTGGATGGAGAAGGACAAATATCTAGAGAGGGGTAGAGTTGAAACAAAGGCGTGGTATTTTTCCTCAGCTGAGGCCTGAGATTTGTACTGAGGTACAATTCTTCAATCGATTGCGTGTTGTATATCACAGATAAACTTCCCAGTTTCACCAATTACCCGGCTCCAAACAGCTGCAGACACCCTGTGATTAATCATTTGTGTCTGGGTTCGATAATAAGGACTGAATGTAGGAGTAGAACAAAATCTCCCTCTTTGCTTGTCAGTACAGCCTCTAAACTGATCTGCCTTATCTGCCTATACAATCTGTGCCATATGGCTTGTTCGCTGTCCTGTGTAGACTCACAGCCTCTCTTTGTTTCTGAAGAGATTCATTGGATTGT